GCCATGTGAAAACATTGCGAGATAGGATTGCAGTACAATATAATCAGATAGTAAAAAAATAATACCTCAAGAAAAAGGAGCGATCCCATCAAGGAGCAAAATCTGAAATATACAATAAATAAATAACATAACAAATTAAATGAATAAAATAGAGGAATTAATCATAGTTTCTCATCTGAATGTACTCCGTAGAAGCTAAACTGAACAGAAGAAACTAACCTTTAGAATCACTGGATGACCTACACCTACAGAATGATCACACAGCTCTGCAACAAACTTTGGCACAGGTTGTCAAAAAAGATTGATCGATTGCAGTGGTTCTTATCAATGCATTGATTTGTGCATTCGGTTAACCGCGGTACTATTCGATGCATGGATGGGATGAGTGGATTCGATTGGTTGGACACACGCCCAAAGGGCCTGGTGGTGGTGGAGGTCGCTACCCGACGGATTCACGGAGTCCGGCGGCGGGCTACCCAACCCGTCACATCTCGGCGAGCGCGGGGAGCCGATCTGGAGCTCGATCTCACCGCCCCCGCCGTGCTTGAACGAGCTGGCCCGGCGCGTCATGGATCCCCACCGGCCATGCGGGGCTGTGACTGTGAACTGTGAGGCGCTGGTGGTGGTGGAAGGGAGAAGAAAGGAAGAGGGATCAGCAGACCTGCTGGGACGCACGCACGCCCACGACGGTGCCCAGATCCATTCTAGCGATCGTTCACTCATTTTTGGGCCAGCGAACGATCCCGGGTCTGCATGCTGGACGTCACACATGCTCCGTACGGTTTCAAGTGCCTCACGTCACTTAAAAAAAACGATCCATTTATTTTAAAATCCTATAACTTCCGAACGGTCTATCTGTTTTCAATTTCGTTTGTACCATGTGTTTTACGCGACAAGACGAACAAAACTAAATTCCACTTTCATATGTTTTAAAGAATTTTTTTTTTCTAATAGCAATTTATGTATATTTACTTATAACATAGAACTTATAACTTAAAATATAAGTTATATATATATATATATTACGTTACATAACTTATTTCTATAACTTATACTGATAACTTGGACAATATAACATTTTACAGAACAAAACTTATCACCATATAACTTATAACATTAACTTATACCGTATAACTTATAACTTATCAAAACTTGAAAACATAAAAGTTATAAAACACAACTTTTTTATTTTGCCCCCTTTTTTCTCTTTTTAATTTTTATATTAGTCTATCAATTTTCCTTTTATGCATGCTACCAATATATCTGCTAATATGTTATGATATTAATTTATACATCTAAGTTGTATAAAATAACTTATGTACACAAGTTGTATAAAATAATTTATGTACATAAGTTACGTTTGATAACTTTTTATAGATAAGTTCTGTTTTATAACCTTTTGTGTTTCTAAGTTTTGTTATAAATTATATAGGATAAGTTATGCGTTATAAGTTAGTTTGCTACTAAAAAAAATTCTTTGAAACATATGTTAGTGGGGTCTAGTTTTGTTTGTCTCATCGCGTAGAATGCACCAGTGCAGACAAAATCGAAAATAGATACACCGTTCAGAGTTATAACATTTTAAAATAAATGTTTTGCGTGGGCACAACATAGTTGAAATTGAGCACGGAAAAATGTATACATGCTACTATTCAATTAAGATCCATACGTAAATTATTCTTTTCTGAAAAAGGATGGCGTCGCCTGTCGAAAAAGTGTTCGCTCGTTTTCCCATGGATGAGCGTTTGTGAATTATCCACGCCGACGACGGTGGCGTCTGGCGATGATTGTGGTGTCGAGGTGGGGTGGTTTGTTTTGAAAAGAAAATCAGAGGGAGAGGAAAAGAGATACGACAGCGTGATATGAGCCACGATCGTCGTCACCACGGATCGCATACGTGATATGACTTGCGGACTCACGGTATCGTCGTTGGGAGAGGTAGACCGACGATGAGAGGATGCAATTGTCGCACCAAAACGGTGTCCACTTTGTACTTTTTTAGTTGTGAGAGATACATGTCCTGTTTGGTTGAGCTATGGTTTTTGAAAAAATAGTTGTGGGCTATGGCTTTTGGAAAGCTGTTGTGGAATATGAAGCTGTGGCTTTTAAAAAAGCCCGTTTGATTAGCGGCCGTGGCTTTTAGAAAAGCTGGTCTCACTTACAAGCGGGCCACACATGTCATGTACACATTGAATCTTCTTCCTCTCGCCACCAGGGGATGCCCCTCGCTGGAGCTGGCCGCGCTCGCCGTCCGGGGTTAGCCATGCCTACCGGGAGGCGCGCCCCGGGGTGCAGGGTCGCGGCGAGGGAGTGGTCCGCGTCCGCCGCTCCTCTGCTGTTGCTCGCGTTCGGAGGATGCGCCGCCGCTCCTCTGTTGTTGCTCGTGTTCGGAGGATGCGCCGCCGCCAGAGTGGGGAGGGGGCTCGCGCGGAGTGGGGAGTGGGGAGGGGTCTCATCGGAGTCGGAAGGGTGCGCCGCCGCCGGCAGCTCCGACCCTCTGCCGAGCTTATGCCCGTGGAGAGCTCTCTCCCGCCCCTGAAGAAGCGCCCATAGAGAAGCGGAGGATCTCGTAGGGAACTCGCGGAGGCCATGGAGAAGCGCCCGTGGGGAACACGCGGCGCCGCCCATGGAGCGCTCGCCCGAGGCCAGGTTGCGCGGCGGTGTTTGGGGGCGGGCGCGGCGGACGGATCTGGGCGGGCACGGGGGCCGGAGCTGGGCGAGCGGACGACGGAGATGCTCGAAGACCTTCGTGAATCTAGTCGGACGGGGAAAAGAAGAAAAGAAAACGAATGGGTATGTTGTAACGAGTGGCAGCTGAAAATAGGGAAGGTACTTTTAAGTTTATACCAGAGTAAAAGTAGCTTTTGGTCTCAAGCAGCCGTAGCTTTTCACTCCTTGGTTGGGGTTAAAAAGCTCGACTAAGGTCCTGTTTGGTTGGGCTTTTGGCTTTGGCTTTTGGCCCCAAAAGCCAAAAGCCCAACCAAAGGGCCTCTTTGGAGGTGCGCAAAATGGGTAGTTCATTTTTGTGGGTTGAGTGGCAGCTTTTCGAAATTGGTGAAAAAAAGCTCTTCCATAGTTGTTTCAAGAGAGATTTATATTTTAGAGTTTAACCAAAAGCTTTAGCTTTTTGGTCTCAAGCAGCCGTAGCTTTTCACTCCTTGGTTGGGGTTAAAAAGCTCGACTAAACAGGCCGAGTCTTCAGCTCCCTTTTCCAGCCATCGTCGCGTTGACGCAAGTGCCAAAGGGCAAAAGGCCGAAAGGGGCGTTTTCCAGGCCGGCTCCCTCAAATCGAGGGGCAAATCTCTCAAGCTCCGGCCTCACATACTAAGACATACTAGTGGGCCGTGGATCCGATCAGGATACAGAATTAGGCCGATAATTCCCAGTCATGGGCTGCTAGGACATGTAGGCCCATTGGAGAGGCCACAGAACAGCGCAAAGCACCAGCGTGCGGCCGGGCCAAATTGTAGCAGAATAGAACCACCACCTCCTGGACTTGGGCCTCCCTACCCCTACCCGAATCGCAAACTCTGTACTACGACTCTGCCCTTGTTGACTTCGATCGTCCTTGAATCCAAGCAATCGTGTCGTGCACGTGGGCGAGCGCGAAAAAGACTTCGAGCTGGCTTCACTAATAACATTGATGAAGCAGCCACCAAACAGTCCAAACTGCAACCGAAACCGCCCGAAGGCCGATCGTCCCACAGGAATCAGGCCCACAGGAACCCAACGACCATGTTTCTCCCTCTCACGGTCTCACCAAACATTGATGAAGCAGCCACCAGCTGACAACGAAGTTCCTCTAAAAAAAAACCTGACTTCGGCGGCGTTCGGCTGAAAATTTCAGACCAGCCGGCTGGTCCGGCTGCTTCTCCTTATATTGCTACAGTGTATCGGCCATAATATTTCTTTGGCGAACCGCCACTGTTGTTTTGTTTTATTTTTTCATCAGACAGCAGCGAAGAATGGCCATGTGGATATTTCAGGCAGAGGGAAGGGGTCGAGATTAAGATTGGTTCAAGACTCAAGTTACAAAACAAAAAATTCTATATAAAAAATAGGACTAGTGTTCTCTTGCCTCTTGGGGTCATTGCTACTTGATGTTTCTTCTAAACACAAGTAGTACACAACTAGCTATAGCCTAATTTGGAAACATTCAGTCCATTCGCTGGTTGATTTCTGATTTGATAAGCCCGGTTGGTGCTGATTTATTATGAGAAAAAAATATTATTGGCTGACTGATAAGCCCGGGATAAAACCAAGAAGCGAACAGACCGATTGACCAGAGGCAGTAACAACTTTTATGTACGTTTCATTTCTATCCGAGGATCAAAAACAAAAGCAAGTCTTATCTGCTATCTCTGTGTCCCACAAGTTTCCATCGGTTTGAATGTCGAACAAGTGGCTTACAGAGCCCTAGTCATGTGCTCTTGTGTACTAGTGACAAGGCTTGGAAAATACAAGGGATCGGTCAACAGTGACAAGGCTTGGAAAATACAAGGGATCGGTCAACAATACGATCCAAATCAGCAGGAGCACCTGGTATACACTATCCTCCCTCCTCCAGGGGTTGGTGAACTCTGCCCCTCAAAAAACTGGGCAAAAACAACAGCAAGTGCTTGTGCTTGGATTCCCACAGAGCACACAACTAAGCTCAAACTAATCACCATTAACTTTGTTTTTACAGTTTCGTCGCAAAAAAAAACTTTGTTTTTACAGAAAGACGCCTAAGCATCTTATTCCTGAATTATATTAAGGTAAAATACATTTTTATATCCCGGCATGAAAAATACTCATTTTTTAAACCTAAATTGTTTATATTATTTAAAAAGGGGCAAGTCATTGGGTCCCACTCACCTACCGCCAACCGCCCCCAATCTCCCTCCCTCTCCTCTCCCTCTTCCTCCCCTCTCTTCCCTTCCCGTTCCCGCCGTATAAATTCGCAGAACACCGCGCCACCATTTTCCACCAAACCCCGGCGCCCGCCGAGCAGCCCAGCCATGGACTCCTCCCTCCTCCTCTCCGTCGCGCTCGCGGTGGTGCTGATCCCGCTCTCGCTCGCGCTCCTCAACCGGCTCCGCCTCGGCCGCCTGCCGCCGGGCCCGCGGCCGTGGCCCGTCCTGGGCAACCTGCGCCAGATCAAGCCGATCCGGTGCCGCTGCTTCCAGGAGTGGGCGGAGCGGTACGGGCCCGTCATCTCCGTCTGGTTCGGGTCCGGGCTGACCGTCGTCGTCTCCACCTCGGAGCTCGCCAAGGAGGTGCTCAAGGAGAATGACCAGCAGCTCGCGGACCGGCCACGGAACCGCTCCACCCAGCGGTTCAGCCGCAACGGGCAGGACCTGATCTGGGCCAACTACGGCCCGCACTACATCAAGGTGCGCAAGCTCTGCAACCTCGAGCTCTTCACGCCCAAGAGGCTCGAGGCGCTGCGCCCCATCCGGGAGGACGAGGTCACCGCCATGGTCGAGTCCGTCTACCGCGCCGCCACTGCCCCGGGTGAGTAAGCTGAGATCTCATTTACTGCTCCTCTCTCTCGATCCCGGACAATGTTAGGTATGTGCAATTTGGACAAATTAGGGGTGTTTGGTAAAAAGACGGAGGATTCTTTGGTGCGAAGATTCGTTGGTTGGGCGACCCCACCCAATTTTGCCGTGGTGTCGGTGTGCTGGTGGATTGGTGACCAGCTGCTGTCTCGTGTTGACTTTAGCTTCAAACGGCGCTGGGATTTACTGTGTATAGTTGCTTTCTGGGCCGCTTAGTGGCAAGTTTGCGCCTATCATTGAGCAAAAATGCTAAACTAGTTTCGTAGGTTTTGTGTCGATTTTTGTCATAAGATCGCAGGGGAAATGTCACGCACAGTAACAGCCTATCACAGTCCAGTGAAGTAAACGAATAGAAATGCCCCGTGCTGTGAAGGTGGCCACATGGTATGATGTTAAGCACGTTGTTAGTGAGGTACTATATGAGGGGCGAAGCCAGCTCAAAACTGACCCTGGTGCACACTCTATTGAATATAAAATAATGTATACAATTAGGAAATACATGGAAAATTTGATGCAGATATTAGCAAACGTTTGCTTTACCATGGTGCATGTGCACCAGCAAAAGCCAGCGTAGCTTCGCCCCTTATTGCTAATATATTCGCTAAATTAGTGTGCACAATGTCGTCAGCAGTGCTGATAGCTGTTCAGTTGCATTGAGGTGACAAACTTGGGGTTTATTTTATTAGCCATACTTTATGTCAACCAGATCACGAAGGTTGGGATTCCCATGAGTTTTAGTATTCATGGCAACATGGAGCTGTTCTTGTTGATGTAGATGCCATTTGAGTGTTTGGTTGCGTTTCAGCTAATTTGGTGGTTTCCACATTATGCTCTGTTAAAGAACTTTTCAAACAATTAAAAGTCAGAGATTAGAAACATATTATAGCTGTAATGCTGGTAAACAGTCTATCCTGTAACTGAGAATGGCATGCAAATTTAGCGGCTTATTAATTGTATGACAACCATTCTTTGTGGTAACGAACCCAACTTATTGGTGTGCCAAGCATTCTCTGTTGACATTATACCAGCTTGACCAAAAACCTGCAACCTTAATATGATTTGTCATCGGCTGTATCTCATATAAATCGTCTTACGGATCAACATATGGGAGAGTATAAATGTGGTGACAGCTTGCAAATGTACAAAATTCAGGTGTGCATTAATGCAGAATTATGTAGTTCCCTTGTGCAATCTGAGAGCACTTTATACGACCTGGATTTGGAAGCAGCTTGCCTTGTGGCATTTTGCAAAAAGTGTCACCTGGATTTGTCTGAGATTCTAAAAGAAGGAAACTTGCTGACCATTTTGATAATAGGTTCAAATGTGACTTTGAGCTCAGTCAAATACGGACTAGCTTTTAATCCTTAAGAAGACTGTAATACAATATATTGTTGTTTCGGAGCAATCAGTGAGTGGATCTAAACTGATTGCTGCAGCATTGTCCAAAAAGGGGGGAGTTCAGATAGCAAATTGCATGGGAACCGTGTTTCAGGCCAGGGTATTATTCTGAATGGATAATCTGCACTAGTGTTAGGTTTTCTTTTTTCTGGTATTCACGAGAAAATATTAATAGTCATATTCTCCTTCCTTGATATGTTAGTTGCAAAGCAAACAACTCGCTAATGTTTGACTTTATTTAGCACAGTATTGATTGTTCCAGTGGCTAATGTAATTCATTAGGCATCCACTATCTTAATTCTCCTTCATGTTTTGTAACATTAGTTGCAAAACAAATTGCCCACGATAGCATTTTTATATTGTTTAGCAAACATTCATTGTTCCATTAATGTATTTCATGGAACGGTCTACAGAAAGCGAATTACAAAATATTTCTATGGATGACGTTAGTGAAACATTCAGCTACCAAATCAGTTAGAATCCAAAATCAGTCAGGCATTTCATCATAGTATATAGTTTTAAACTGTTACTTAATCTTATGTTGTATTCAGGTAATGTAGGGAAGCCATTGGTAGTGCGGAACCACCTTTCTATGGTAGCCTTCAACAACATAACAAGGCTGGCATTTGGGAAGCGGTTCATGAATGCAAACGGTGACATTGACGAACAAGGGCGTGAGTTTAAGACTATTGTGAACAACGGGATCAAGATTGGTGCATCTCTCTCTGTTGCTGAGTTTATTTGGTATTTGAGATGGTTGTGTCCACTTAATGAGGAGCTTTACAAAACTCACAATGAGAGAAGGGACCGCCTGACAATGAAGATCATTGATGAGCACGCTAAATCTCTCAAGGAGAGTGGTGCCAAGCAGCACTTTGTGGATGCACTCTTCACCCTCAAAGAACAGTATGACCTTAGTGAAGACACAGTTATTGGACTTCTATGGGTATGTTGGACCGCTTTTCTCACAGATTACTCATTTGTAGCTGGATGTTCTTTTTACTAGACAGGATCCCAATGCACATATATTTTTTTTCTATAATGCACACATGCTGCATACCCTTGAATACGGTGACTGATTTTTGGAGGTTACTGGATAAAGGTTCAATATCAGTTTGTAGTGTGGGTCAGAGCGAGACATCACTGTCTTAAGGTAGGTGCAAGGTGGTGGGGTTTGGAAACTGTCTATGTTTACTTTGTAGTTGGAAATGTGTGCATTTTATGTTCATTTTACCTACTACCAGCACGAGGAATGTGCAAAGGTTAGGCCAGTTAGCTACTATGCCGCTAGGTGACTGCCATTTGATTTGTAAAACAATCGATCTTGGTAGTTCTTGTTGGTGCTGTGAGTACTAATATTCCTTGATTTGTTCATGTTCAGGACATGATCACTGCTGGAATGGACACAACAGTCATCTCAGTCGAGTGGGCAATGGCAGAGCTGGTCAGGAACCCCAGGGTGCAGAAGAAGCTGCAAGAGGAGCTCGACCGTGTGGTTGGCCGTGAGCGCATCATGTTAGAGACCGACTTCCAGAACCTCCCCTACCTACAGGCCGTCGTCAAGGAGTCGCTCCGGCTGCACCCACCGACGCCACTCATGCTCCCCCACAAGGCCAGCACGAATGTCAAGATCGGTGGCTACGACATCCCCAAGGGCGCCAACGTGATGGTGAACGTGTGGGCGGTGGCGCGTGATCCCAAGGTCTGGAGCAACCCACTGGAGTACAGGCCGGAGCGCTTCCTGGAGGAGAACATCGACATCAAGGGCAGCGACTTCAGGGTGCTGCCGTTCGGTGCCGGCCGGCGTGTGTGCCCTGGTGCGCAGCTCGGCATCAACCTCGTGGCCTCCATGATTGGGCACCTTCTGCACCACTTCGAGTGGTCCCTGCCGGAAGGCACCAGACCGGAGGACGTCAACATGATGGAGTCCCCCGGGATGGTCACGTTCATGGGCACACCACTACAAGCTGTCACCAAGCCGCGCCTGGAGAAGGAGGAGCTGTACAATAGGGTCCCCGTTGAGCTGTGAGGTGCCTGCTGCCGCTTTGAATTCACTGCTCGATTTGGGCTTTTCTCGCTGCGGTTGCTGCTTTCAGCTAAGATGTTGGATAGAGTTGTTCGCGTTGTAAAATGTGAGGTGCTAGATGCATTTAGAATCTCATAAAATTGCCACATACAGTTCGTCATAGTCTTACACGATGTGTCTTTGTAATTTGTATAACAGTATAACATGGTGGAACAATTCCACTTTGAACTGAAATTCGCGCTGCGTTTATATATACACAATACACACTGTGGTCAGAGCTTATAAATGAAGGAAGCAAAAGGCCCAAAAACAAAATTCTGCATTGTGGGCCTTATTTGGGAGACCATAAAATCCGGTAAAGCCATTATGCCAGGATATGATTTTTCTTCTCGAACCTCAAAACTAGATATTTTATCTCTTGAACTCTTAAAACCACTCAAATTACCTCCTTCCCTAATTTGGAGTGGTTTTAAATATGGTTTTGTCTTTTTTAGTTAAAAATGGGTAAAAACTTGGTAAGGTTTTAAAACGACATAAAATGTCTCTAAGATTTAAAATTCTGAAGAAAAAAATCTAGAGATACAAAAATATCAAATAAAATATTTAGAGATCAACAAAACATCTTTAGAAACTTAAAAGAATAGGTTTAGCTCTATAAAACCGGAAAATATCCAACACAAATCTAGAAAATTAGCAAAACATTTTATACGATGTATAAACATGTTTAAACTTTTCACATCGAAAATATGAGATGTGATCAGCATGAATGCAACATATATTAACGTTGAATGCATTCATGCTATACATTTGTGCTAGTCGTTTATTATGTTTTTTATTCAAAAAGTTTTCAAAACACGTTTACAAATCAGTTAGAATATTTTTATATTTTTCTAGATATTTTTGTATATTTTCCACTTTTCTAAATCTAAACCTATTTTTTAAAGCATCTAGAGATATTTTTATGGGCTATAGATATTTTATTTGAATTTATCGCTTTTCCGGTCTATCCCTATAATTTTAAAAGAATAGAGATATTTTATGTGGTTGAAAACCTTATCAAGTATTTACTGTTTTTAAAGACCTGCTTAGAACACATGAATTTCATAGGAATAAATTCAATTTCACAGAAAAAACATAGGAACAAAGTTTTTTTCCGCATTCCAAACATGCCCTAATAAACAAAAAAGGATAAAACCACATTCAAATCACTCCAAACAAAGGTAGGGAGGTAATTTGAACCATTCTGCAAGTTCAAGGGGTATGATGTATAGTTTTAGAGTTTGAGGAGGACAATCAAACTACACGTATTCAAGGAGCTAGAATGGATTTTTTGCTATATTGAACATGGAGTTGTATACTACGATATGTAGATCTAAGATGGTAAGGAATATGCTGCTAATTTGAAATGGCTATTGTACTTGTAATGAGACCATGTTTGGGCTGAAAATAAATTTCAACAAAAGTGGAGCCATTATGGTCAATTCTAATAGAAATGTTTAGTTGTGAATTGAAAGTGTCCCATCAAATAATTAGGTTTTTGTTTCTAAATGTAGACTACCTATTATGGATTGGTTTCCCTAGATGAAAATATTCTTAATAAATTTGATAGCTGATAACGAAGCTCCCTCACTATTAGGTGATGAGGGTGAGGACGTGAGGGTGAGGGACTGAGGGTGGGGGTTGGGATATGGGGGGGAGACTATCTTATTAAACTATAGCTTTCTTCCCACAATGGTGAATTTAGAATTTTGAGGTTGGATATGTCAAGCTAGGTCTTGATCCTCACATTGCAGCCTGCAATGTCGCTTGCCAGATTTCTACAAGACTAGTTATTTGCAACTTGCCCTTGCATCGAGTCGATGTAGTTGTTCCCGTTCGCCTTGAGGTTGCTGCGCTACGTAACTGACTGGTGTTGCTGTTAGGGTTTCAATTGGGAGGGAGAGGGAGAAGCGATCGGAGAATTGCTTATTTGGGTGGTCATGAGACATAATTGGTGGTACAATATTATCAATAGAAGACAATATAGCCAAAGTTATTACATAGCGGACGGTGTATATCTAGAGTGGTTTTTTTTTTGTAAATTCAATACACAAACCATAATCTGATAAGTATAAACTATTTGCACAACATCAAGAAGGACAAGGAAAGATGTTGAATGTGCATTTGAGATTTCTCGTAGTCTCATTTTTGTATTTTGTGTCGACCAGCATGTCTATATGAACAAGGTGATCTTGAGAGTGTCGTGAAAGCTTATATCATCCTCACAATATGATAATCCAGGATGAGAAAGACATAGAGCTGAGTCCTATTGGTCTGAATGAGGAAGCCAGCGATGGCAAAAGTACTAGCAAGAAATGCACACTTTCATGATCGTGCTGCTTATAAGAAACTTCATTTAGACTTGATTGAGCATATTTGGCATAACTTTAGGAACTTAAATTAATTTGGTAATAATCAATTATATGATAAAAATGTCAATGTTTTCACTGTGACCTATACCCATCTATACTATATAAATTGAGAGTACTGTTATATAGAAATGTTTCATTATTATTTATTTGGAAACTCACTATTCGTTATTTCTATGTGCAGCTGATGCCGTTCGGACTCTCTTAGATTTTTTTATTGGACAGGTGTAGGGTTGAGATGGCAGACTAGGGGGGTGAATAGTCCTTTCTAAAATTAAACACGCCGGCTAACCGAAACAAATACGGAATTAAAACTATCGGTCTAGACAAGACTACACCCATCTATCCAAGTTCTCAAGCATCTTATAAAAGATCCTAATTAAGCAACTAAGGTACCGGGCTAACTAGAGCTCACATAACCAATTCTAAAAGTAAGGTCACACAAACCTATGCGACTGGTATTTTAAACACCGGGGGAGCTCCTACACAAACTAGTATGCAAAAGCACAAAGCCTAAGCTTACTAACAATGTTCAATAACAAGGCTACATAAGCTAATTAGAGAGCTCAATTTACTTAGCTACACAAACTAAGCAAGACAACTAATTTACTACAAAAGTAAACTAGTTACACTAGAAAGCTACTTCTATGCTACACGAGCAAGAAGGTAACTAGCAAATTACACAAACTAACTAATTACAAGAGCAACTACGCAAGCACAATATATGATATGTAAATACAAGTTTGTGTAAAGGGGAATGCAAACCAACAGAAAGACAAGAATGACATGATGATTTTTATCCTGAGGTTCACTTGATTACCACCAAGCTAGTCCCCGTTGAGACAAGCTTCAAGGTTGTCGCCTGTCCTCTTGCTAGTCGTGGCCCGCAAGTCACACTCTCCCATGCGGAGTGCTTACCACAAGCTCTAGCACTTAACCCGACCAAACCACTTGTCGTCCTTCACGTCTCGCTCTACTAGAGTTGCTCTTCGCGGCTCCCGCGGGGCGAGCACAATGCCCCTCACAAATCCTTCTTCGGAGCACCACACAATCTTCTTTGCGTGCTTCAACGGAGATCACCACCAAGCCATCTAGGAGGTGGCAACCTCCAAGAGTAATAAGCACCATCGGCTTACAACTCGATCACCTAGTGCCAACACTTGCAATCTCTCATGCACCGCACTAGAATCGCTCTCTCACGTAGCGGATATGATTAGCACTAATTGCAAGTGAGTTGGAGGGCACCCAAGCACTCTCACATAAGGACACTAAGTCCCCAAGGTGCCAAGCTCCTCAAATGGCCGGCCACCTCCTTTATTAATGGAGGGAGGCCTCCAACTAGCCGTTTGGACACGTGCTGAAAAGTGTACTGTGGACAGTCCATCCTTATAGGCCCGGATAGTCCGCCCTTATGCTGAAACTAGCCGTTAGGTGCTGTAATGATCAACCCAGACAGTCCACCCCTTAGGTCCCAGACAGTCTGCTATTCACCTGAAACTAACCGTTGGAGTTCAAACGGTTACCGCGGATAGTCCGGGAATTATAGGCGGACAGTCCGCCGTTGAATTTTGATGACATGTTCGAAACCTGCCCAGCAACCTCTGTTCCTCAAAAATTAGCCGGTGGACAGTCCGCCCCTCGGGCCCGGATAGTCCGCCGTTCACCTGTCAGCCCATGAACAGTGCAAGCGTCGCGTCCGATGTCTCCCAATCGTCAGCGTTCAAGGACCGCGGACAGTTCGTCACCAAAGAGTAGACAGCCCACCGTTGTCCAGAAAGCAACCCAAGCTTCCTGCGAACTCCTCCTCGCTTCCAACTTCTTCTCATTTGCAAATGTGCCAACACCATCAAGTGATACACCACCTTGTGCACGTGTGTTAGCTTTTCAGAAACATTTTTTCAAAGGATTAGCACTCTTCTTGCCACGCCACTCGATCCTAGCAACGATGCAAAGTTAGATCACCCTGTAAGGAAAATGGACCTTAGGCCCATTTACTTTGGATTTTGGTGTTTGATGACCAACACAACCAAATTTGACTAATGAATTTGCAAGTAATTGTTTTGTACTTCAATAGGGTGCAAGACGTGACTTGGACAAAGATGACATGATGATCTGATGATCAACACCATAAGCAAGACCCTAGAAGCACAAGAGAAGACCCAAGATATCAAGCAAAGTCCAAGCATGAAGATGGGAACCAACCCGGGCGCAAGATCGCGAAGAAACGAGCTCGGCAGAGGTGACCGGACGCGGCCCTATGAGGACCGGACGTGTCCGATTAGTACCTTGGCAACAGCAGGGAGCGGTCCGAGAGAGGCTTACCGGAAGGCACACCGGAGACCCACTTGTGCGTGGGGAAGGCCCAGGGCTATCCACGGAGTTACCCGACCGGGAGTTTGGCCCTTGCGAGGGATTCCTTGCGAGGGGCTCCAACTAGGACTAGGGGGAAGCTTAAGCGCTTCTCGATACTTCGGTAAAAATATCGAAGTCATCGATGGGAGTTTGCACCTCTACCTCATCTTTACCTTCCGCATTTACATTGCTACCTTGGTTGTGTGCTTTACTTCCCTAGCTTAGTTGATAGGCTAGTTGATA